AAGCAGTAATACTTTTCCTGCTGAAGTCCTTAATGATATAAGATTTGTATCACAAATTTTAAGTGATTTTACATTGAAGCAACTATATATCTCCAAGTGTCTCAACTTGAGGGACGGACCAACAACTTCCAAATTTTTCAATGTTCCTGATCCATGAACTTGCATTCTTTCAAGAAATGGACAATTGCGTAGAAAGAACTCAAGAACTTGGCCCGTCACATTTACAGATTTCAATATAAGCACTTTTAGAGACTTGAAATTCTGGTTGATAAGTGAGAGTATTTGGAGGTTATTAGAGCATGAAGAAGAATCTCCAAGACCAAGGAGCCGCTCCGGAAAAGTATAACAGGAATCAAAATTACGAGTGAATGATCCACACCTTAATAAGTCTAACTCTAGTCTTTGAACTTTCTTAGAAAAGGCAAGTTCAAGCCATTTGTCAATGTCGTGCTGAGCAAATTTGCTTAAATCATAGTAAACACGAAATTGGTCAAGTCTCTGGCCTTTAAACTTTTGCAAAGCAGAGTTGACCCATGTCAGATACTTGTCCATATGCCCTTTTTGTAGCTTGGGTTGCACGAACACTTGATCCAAGTATTTTGTAGCATCAAAATCAAGGTGATCAATATATGTCCATAAGTTTAGCCAACGCCTTGAGAGGAGACTTGTATCTGCAGCTTCCTTAACAGAAAAGAAAGACAATATATATACCAGAATTTCATCAGGTAACTGACTGACACGATCTTCTTGTGCAATGCAGACCTCCTTTTGACACTAGAAACAAAAAAATTGATCAAACCACAAGAATGACAAGAGACTGGAGAAAAGAGATATGGGGTTGAGAAAAACACCTTTTTTAAAGCAAATTTGTTGGAAAGTCGCAGTCTTTTCTCCATGGGTTCTACATAAGATAATGTTTGTATTATTTTTAATTTTTGTTCCAACCAGGAAGATACAATCATTGCCGAAAGCTAACAATAAATAAAAAGGGGACCTTGATTGCAGTTTAGATGCAAAAACAAAGGATAAAACAGAGACAGAGTACCACAAAAACACACTATTTTTTTATAAGATCAAAAATTGAGAGTAGGATTCACGAGTACCTGGAATTACTAAAGGAAGAAGAAGAAAGATGCTGCTGCGCTGTTCCAAATTGAGAAATCGCTCTTACCGTGAAGACGACAGACTAGGGCTAACATTATATATAGCTTTTGCCTTTTATATAAATATATATATATATATATACATACATATATGATATACTATTAGATACAAAAGCATTATTTTATTTGTTTTAATTTTATAATTTTGTTTTCAATTATTTTTATAATATTTTAAACATATTTTTAAAAGGAAAAGGGACTAAAATATGCTCGAAGTATTGAAAATAGTACACAACTATCCCTCATTCACCTATTGGCTCTCAAATACCTTCTCCATCCATCTATTGGCTCACAAATACCCTCCACATCCACCTTTGGGTCCAATTTTAGCCACTTCATTAATGGAGGACCATTTAAAATAATTAAATAGTTCTTTTAATTACGTGGCGCTCAACTATTGATTGCAATTTAATTATTTAATATAATTTTAAACCCACCCATTTTTAACTAAACCCGCCCCAATACCAAAACAACCCAACTAATAAAAAAGAACCCTAAAACCTTCGTTCCCAAATTTACACTCCATTTTTCATGATCCTCAATCCAACTTGAAATTGGCCTTTTCCTAAAAGGTCACGTATATTTTACATGTAAATTTTCATTGTCATTTATAGAAATTAGGATATTGGAACCTAGAGGACAAGATGGTGCAATAATCAACCCTTCTTCCATGTTTCCCTTTTGCATATCTGTTCATACCCAAGGACTTTTGGGACCTCATGGTTAAGCTCTAGAAGTAATTGATGCTTACTAGATCAATTGTGTTGTCTTTTTCTGCAGTTAAATTGTCCCTTATAAAAAAAATCAATTTCATAGTCTGAATTTGCTATAGCTAACTGTCCTACAGTTGGAGGACATGCATGTTAGCCACATTATGTAACACTGCACCACCTGTGAAATGCCGTGAGATAATTAAAATTGAATTCTTATGTTAGTTACTTATTTTTCCTCTCTTTATGTTGTTTTCCATATTTTCTTGTTCGGCAGTCATGGGAGTAAAACAAAGGCATTTATGCAACCTGTACTCTTGTTGTTTAAACACGGGAATAGATCATTACTCCTCTTGTCCCATAATATGTACTATCACTTTTCACTTCTCGATAGTCAATTTGACTAAACTTCGAAGCTATATTGATTGGATTAAATCAATATTTTAAAATTAAAATTTATATATCCCAAAACAATACGAAAATTTGGAAACGAAGGTTTTAGGGTTCTTTTTTATTAGTTGGGTTCTTTTTGTATTGGGGCGGGCAGGTTTAGTTAAAAATGGGTGGGTAATGAGTGGGTTTAAAATTATATTAAATAATTAAATGGCAACCAATGGTTGAGCGCCACGTAATTAAAAAGATTATTTAATTATTTAAAATAGTGGTCCGTTAATGAAGTGGCTAAAATTGGACCCAAAGGTGGATGGAGAGGGTATTTGTGAGCCAATAGGTGGATGGGGAGGGTATTTGGGAGCCAATAGATGGATGAGGGATAGTTGTGTGTCATTTTCAGTACTTAGAGGGTATTTTAGGCACTTTTCCGTTTTTTAAATGATATATATGACACATGTAATATTTTGAGAGTCCTAATTTGCAATAAACCTCAAATGACTAAAGTGTAAATTTCATATATGACATATATTATAGTACTAATTTCAAGCTATAACAGTAGATTTAGACTTTCAAGCTATAACATTAAAAATTTCAGGTTATAACAAGTTAAAAAAAATAGTTTTTATTAATTGGAAAAACTTAAAAATAAATAAAAAGATAAACGAAAATTTAAAAATAAAACGGAATTAGAAATAATAAAGTAAAAAACTAGAATTGTGGGCTGTAATTTAATTTGAATTTATTGTAGATAATTAATGATTAGCATGAAATAAGGGATCCAAACTAATTAAGAATATTTAGTTTCCTTAATTCACACTAATTTGTTAAAATTAATTCAAAAATCTGATTTTAACCATTTTTCTTCCACGTTTCTCTCTCTTCAATTTTCTTCCAGAAATTTTGTCACTGGCGACTAATTGAATTTTTTTTTTGTTTGAAAAATCCTATTTTTTTTGTGATAGACAACTACGTATCAATACTAATTAAACATGGCGGAAGATGGATCCTTCAGGTTAGTATTTTTAATTGTTTACTATTTGTATTTGGATTTCAGTGAAATGAAAAAAAAATGAAACTGTAAATCACATTTTGTGATTTTGTTTTTGTAAA